GGGGGGGTCTTAAGTTGAATACATGTTTTATTTCAACAATAACTGGTTATACATGTAAGTACTATAAATGGAAAATAATTTGCATGGAAATTCTGATAAACCTCAATATTCAACATATTAATTATTGGGATTCGGGAATAATTCTTGTTTTTCTCCGTTAATAAAATGTAGCATAAGTTATATATTTGTGTTTTTTATTTTTATTTAGATGTGGTACAGTGTACCATGTAATTAATTCTTGACTTATTTATTTCACATGTTGAAGATTATGAACGGAATATCTTGAATTACTTGACCCTTATTACTTGACCTTGGGTGGTCAGGTGGTGCAGTGGATAGCGCACTTGCTTTCCACCAAGGCAGCCGTGGATCGATTCCCCGGTCGAACGTAAAAAAAGGTATGGGGTCACCTGCCCGCCCACATAGGTTTTCCCCACGTAATCTGGTTTCCTTCCACATTCAGACCCTCAGCGCGCTAACATACGGGCCAACAAGAGTGACTAATATAAGTTGAAATAACTTGTTTTCTAATTGTTGTAAAATAAATAATTACTTATAATTACTTGACCGAAAATGTTTTAACTCCGAATTTGCTATTTGTGACTGATACAAATATTCCACTTAATTTTTTAAATGTTTCCTTTAAATAAGAAAAGCTATACCGTAAATACGATATATCAAAATATAAATCAAATGTGTTACATAAAAAACCCAGTATAGCGACTATTTTCTCTCGCAGAATTCTGGGCCGGGTGTATATGTCACACTTTATAGCCATACTCGGCATACAGTTTTACAGTGCTGAAACACATTAATGCTTTTTAACTTCAATGTGTTTATTTTTTATTTACGTATAGAGACGTTTTCTTACTTCGATTCCAATTAGCGATTTCTGTTAGACATGTGGCTAACCTATGCGGAGCTCGGGAGGTTATTTACTGTACATATGTATGTAGTCGGAACGACATATATATCGAGAATGAATATAATAACACATTGAATTTAAAATTAAGGTAAAACAAAACACAAAAAGGACTCAAGCCATTAATAAAATTAATAGTTTTAATTTCTAATCATTTTTGAGTATGTTTTTTTCAACTCATAAAATGAACATTTCAAAATGAATCCCGGTACATGTATTATATAATTTGTTACCATTTTGGACGAGTCGTAAGTGCACTGTCATTTATCGTGTTTAGAATAATTAATATTCTGAACAAGCCAAAATCACACTGTTATCAGTGAATAGTTCATTATAAAAATATTGTCTTTTATAATTATTGTATGCAAATAAACAATTATAATATCAATACGCCAACCCTCGTTCCATTCCGTAAGCATACACCATATAAACGAAGGCATGACTAGCACTGAGCCGGTTATAAGAGGACCAAGTGTTATAACTTGATGAGGCAGGTGTCTACATTTAGATTTATAACAGTTTAATCAATCACTACGTTTGAACTTTACTTATCCCCTGTGTAGAATTTAAGACATCAAAGGTAGGTCATCACTTACTGATATCTTCATTCTAAGACAATTCTGCATTTAATCTTTATTACTTAGCAAATATATATTATATCATATGAATATTTCTGTTTCGTCTTAACTCATAGATTATGAGATCTACAAATAGAGACCATGGATCAGCATAAGACTTTTCGATTTATCTCCCCTGTTGTCTGGTGGTGTAAGTTAGTACATAAGCAACAATAAAGGTGTCACTATTGAAAGCAGTACGTATTAAGGTGTCACTATTGAAAGCAGTACGTATAAAGATGCCACTATTGAAAGCAGTACGTATATATAAAGGTGTCGCTAGTGTATCAAACATGTTTACGTTGTCATTATTTATGCATTAGATATAAAGATTAATAATTCATAAAGAAGCAATATGTATATCTATCAAAAAACACGATGTTGCAGGTTTGAATGTAAATGTATAATGCAAAAATCGTGTTTCTCCTCGGCTTTAAAATGTACCACACAACATTGTTTCCATACATTATTTTGCATATCATGCCCCCTTCCCGAATAAAAATAACTAATGTCTATTTCATACTAGACTATATCAGAACGTCTGTTTCTCTATTTCTTCTCAATCAGGTGGGGTGGGGAGGGGTTTATAATGTATGCAAAAATCCCTCGTTATTCCTTGTGGAAGACTCGATTAATAGATACTTTTTTTATTTATTTTTTCTATTTATTTAAGATATTGGCAGAACTAATAATTATATACATATATACAAACTTTGTTTTAACGTTTAGCGTTACTTTTCCTTTCCAGTTAAATGGAAATAGCCTTAATATAGACTTATGTCTAAGATTTGTTTTCTTGTGTCTATTAATCGAAATATTTATTCGTTATATTTGATTTATCTCCCTTTCCTTTTTTTTATCCTCGACTTTCGAAAAACAACTACCTATATCATATCTAAGTCTAATATTTAACCAAGGGGTCTCAGTTGGTGGGATATTTCATTTTAATATTCATTTCATAATTTTTATGGTAGTACAGAATTTAAGGCCACTGGGGCCACTTGTATAAAACATCTCAAAATTGAGGAAAATCTCAAGCAATGTATAGTCTAGGGGAAATCTTATACTTGAGGAAATCTCAAGAGTTGAGATGTTTTATACAAGTGGGGCCAGGTCATTTATCGGGCCTCTTAGTAATAATTTCAGTGCACGTGCACGGTAATGTAAATGTAAATGAGCACTACACATATATCTTTACAAAGTTATGTTGAACACGACAGTATTTTGTTTCTTCACAAAAAAATGAGCAATACGGTTTGTATCAAAACTTGGTTTTAAACATTATTGTTTGTATCTACACAAGAAACAATGACACCAATCAAAACCTTTCCAGTAATACTATTATGTATAATATCAAAATCATATATGAAAATGCATTGGTTTTACAGTTTTCAGTCTGATTTAGAACCATAGTCCGTCATGAGATCAGAGATTAGAGATATGTTTGGGGAGCATCAAAGAGCCCATTTTGAGACGAGTGTTGGGTTAAACGTGGTACCATCACATTTTCATCTTCCTCGTCTATGGTGTCGTAAGCGCTGTCACGTGACTCTGATCGGTTCAAGATGATGTCACTATCAAGGACAGTGGTCGATGAAGGTCCGTTTTCGAGCATCATGGTCTTATTCGGTTTTTCTTCAAAACTGTCAGATACCTTTGAGAGTCGCGGCTTGATTAAATTGACCCAGTCATCAAGGAGATATGGATCAGGTGTTTTGAATACAAAGTCACGTTTTCCATTCTTGACTATCAGAACTTGCATTTCTGTAAGACAAAAGCGTTGAAAGGAAATTTGTAATATCACATTTCAGAAATAACAAGGTGCTAATAAGCAATTGGAATGTATACAGATATATAAATAAATAACTTTCAATGTCAGTTCAAATATATATATTCATTTTCATTTAAGTATTAAGCAACATAATATGTAGACGCTGTTTTCTCCCATCAATCCAATGGATATTGTGTAACGCTTCTCCTACCTTGTATAGACGGACATGAACTTACCTCCGACGGACGTTTTTCTTATCTCCGAAACTTTGGAGAAGTTGAGCTCCTTTTCCCCGTCCTCTCCCCATCTCAAGACACTAAACGACTTCCCGCTCGGACCAACATCAAGAAGGGACAGATCCACCTTATGGTCCCAGCCACTCGACGTCTGTTTGTAAAACGATCCTGAAAACACGCAAAAGTCAATTCTTCACGAGTCTATATAAATTGGGTTATTTTAAAACTCAAGAGGAATATATGTATCTTTAAACCGAGTAAAGAAATGCTTGTATGACATTGGTTCTTTTCAAAAAGCTCAGCTTTTCGCATAAAAGAAATTAAAACAAATTTAACCAGAGTTTCAATTCATAATATTTCCAAATCCAGAATTAAAAAAAAAAAATCACAATTTTAAATTATTGGCCCGCAAAATGCATGCGACACAAATATATTCAAACCATTTTGTGGTATATAGCTATTTTTCGAACTAGAAATCGAGTAACGTTCTTATTTACCGTGATGGATTGTTTGTTGGGGAGTATTTCCGTATGACATTTCCGAATTGCCCAGCTTCCGTTGCCGCTTCCTCAGTTTTGCGGAGAAACCTCTACCTTTCTTTTGGAATTTGTGACCGAGCTGCTCTTTTACATCTCCAATGGTGAGTTGAGGTTTTCTGACTAGTTTCTCCAACAGTTTGACATAGGCGTTCAAGAAGTCCTTCCCAGCCTTCTTGTCAATGAAACTTGAGTTGTATTCAAGTTCAAGGTCAATATCGTGTGTTGTCCTATCGTGCCAAACGCGCATCACGCTTTCCTTGCTGTAGCTTCCGGTTAGTGTGTTTACCATTTGTATCATCGGTTTTTGTGAGTTAGAACCTTTCAAAACCGAGTCTGGTAAAACTTCTTCGAGGTTTGTGTCCTCCATTCTTACCTCCTTTGACACGCTTGATTCCTCAAAAATGATCTGATGCCTAAGCACTGAAAGAGGTTCTAGTTGTTCCGCAATAATTCCCTCTATTTCTTTTAGAGGGAACAGGCTATTCTCCAAGCACTTCCTGGTCTTAGACGCATTTTGCGTGATCATATCAATAAGCATTTGATCAAGGTTGCTAAACTCTTGAAAGAGCGGAACCGTATTCACAAGGGTAGATATGTCCTTGTTGAGGGCAGGGAAATGCAGCCTCAGGTCAATGATAGTCAGAAGCGGAACGCAGTCAACTCCGAGAAGCAAATGGAGAAAGAGTTGGTAAGTTGATTGCATGAACTGAAAAAGCGTCCAGTTGTTCTTTTGGACAAGCTGTGATATTTTCATAATCAGCTTCTTAGGTGTCTGTATCCTCGCAAAGGCCACCCTTGTTGGATCACACTTATAGTCAGATGATGGAAAGAACGTTACCGGTTGAAGATTGTTCGGGATTCTATTCCTCCAGAAGGTTTCCATCGGAGTTGCATCTTTCTTGAGACGTTTGTATACCATTTTTGGAATATCATATGTCGTTGTAGGCATGGTGATAGAAATGTCCGGATATGTCCTTCCAAATGATTGAATCTCTCCCAGGAAAAGCATCACAGACGTGTTGTCAAAGCACAAATGATTAAAGACGAAGCGCATTCGACATTTTTTGCCATCGTTTGCGTAAAGAACACGAAGAGGTAAGTCTTTGGCAGGGTTGAACATATACCGTTCTCGGGGAGATGGAACACGATCTCTTGAGTTTATTTCTCGCAAAGGTACCTCTTGGAAATCTACTTCCACATCCTCCGGTGAGATGACGATCTTCTTCATTTCGTCTTTCGATTCGCTGTCTTCATCTGGTACAAACAAGGTCCTCATCAATGGATATTTTCCGTGAATCTGATACAAGAAACTTTTCCATATCTCTGGAATAGCAATTGATATAATGACGTCAATATCTAGGCAAATGAAAAGTCCTGGCGACATGGGATCATTCAGAAACTTGTCGTAGTACCTCTTCTCCGAATAGGTAAGTTTGTGTTCCATACTTTCGTCTTCTTCTTCCTCGCCCGACATATTCTCCATCAGGTACTCGGCGATACTACCAATCGTCGTATCCTCCGACATCAGCATGATGATTGGTATCTGACAATTGGTGACCTCCGCGATTTGGTTAGCGAAAGTCATGGCAAGCATGGAGTCCACTCCCAACTCGTTGAAGGCAGTGGTTGGTGTAAGCATATCCGCATCGATGCCGAGAACCTCGCTAGCAATAGCTATAATAAACTTTGTAACATTTTCAATGTTGTCCAAATCATAGTCTAACTCTATGGCGGTTTTGTTTTGTCGGCTTTTTCCTGCATTTACAAATGTCTTGAACCTCTGGCGAACTCTCATCATAGCTGGGTTGAGCAATTCTCTTCCTACGATGTTCCAATCAAAAATTCCATATGTGATTTGAGGGACTTCCATCATCATAGCGTTTTGTAGACATGTTAGGATCTTTGGAACGTCAAGAGAGATATATCCACGCATGGCAAGGTCATCCTCTGTTTTGTTGTCTTTGAGCATACCAACAGACAAAGGACCCCAGTTGATGCTCTGCCCACACATTCCACTAGCTTTCCTGAGGTGCGCAAGTGAGTCCATGAATGAATTGCCAGCTCCGTAGTTACTCTGTCCTATATTTCCCATAACAGATGTCATTGAAGAATGCATGACAAAGAAGTCAAGATTGAAATTCTTTGATACTTTGTGAAGGTTCCAGCTTCCGACAACTTTTGGCAAAAGTACGGTTCGAAGATGTTCCTCTGTCATTTTAAAGAACATTGAATCTGCAAGCACACCAGCCCCATGAAATATGCCTTTGATTTTGTACTGAGGAAAGTTTGACTGTATAGTACGAAAGGCCTCCTCTACAGATTCACTATTAGAAACATCAGCAGAAAGGGAAGCAACTTTTGATTTGCTATTGTCCTCCAACTGCTTGATTTCAGCTTTTTTCTCCCCATCTGGTTGTCTTCTTGAGAGAGTAACAATTAGACCAGCCCCATGGCGCGCTAGATGCTGGACAATTTCCCATCCAAGGCCTGTCAGGCCCCCCGTCACTACATAGCAACCATCCCGTCGTACTGCTTGTTCTTTAGAAATTTTCAGCTTTTTGTTATCACTGCTTTTGTCTGTATTTTGTCGTGTCAGGTGCATGGTTTTACCAAGTACGGCCGATTCTGCATTTAGTTTGTCAGCGTTTTTCATAAGCCATTTGATAACTCTTGGTACAGTCTTTTCTAACTGTTTTTGTCCAAGCATTTCTTCGTTGTCCAAAGTAATGTACTGAATGTCCGGGTGCAATCGTTCCGCAGAACGAACAACGGCTTTTGGGAGATATCTCTGAAGTGACAACACTCTTTTCACATTTGTGCATGTTTCAAGCATTCTGGTAAGTGCCTGTCCATTTACACTTGATAAGACAACGAGTGTTTCTGCTGTGGTTCCTGTGGAACTGTTACAAAGGTCTTCATACGTTACACATGTTGAATCCAAACCCTCACTCGTACTAAGCATCGATTTCAACATCAAGGGAGTAATGTTCGAATCATTTTTGCGTGAAACGATTGTGATTGATGTTTTTGTAACAGTTTCCTTCAGTTGCCAAACAACCGCTGCAAGTTGGAGCAAACCTGGTTTGTATCCAGAAATATCATCAATCCTGCAAGTACATTCCTTTGGAACAGTTACTTTACTTTGAACACTCATTGGATAGCAAGCCACGAGACGTTCCTGTTTTTTCTCTGTAGGATATCCCAGAGCTTCAAATGTTAGTATATCAAACCCATCTTCATTGTCTTCTATCCACAATGGAACACTACTCTCAGCAGACTGAAGGGTGAGTGGGTACACATCAGGATCATGTAGAACCACGGTTTCCAGTGTTAAATTTAAATGATTTCCAGAACTACTTTGTGACTGCTGTATGATGTAGAACGTGTCCTGAATGTCATCAGGGTGTCTGCTTTTCAATTGGAGCTCGAATCCTTCGTCAAAGTCTACCCACCTAGAGTTGCACCCTTCTTCGTCGTCTTCGGCAAACTCATTTGCAAAAATGCCATCTTCTAGAAGTAACAGTTCCGGTAGATCCTGCAGCGTTTGATTGCCTCCAGCCATCAAAGTGCGGACAAGTGGAGCTGTATCCTTCAAGGAAAGATGAGTATCAAGAAGAGTGACATTTAGTGGATGTTCACGTATTATACATCTCACCATCCCCCACAGCTCCGCTCCCACCACACCGAATACAGTAGCATCAGTATTACGAGTTTCTTGAGTTCCCATTGTGACCACGAATACCGGTATGGTGACATTGACCTGTGCCATGGTTTGTGATATGCCCAGCATTGTACTGCAGTTTCTTAAGACAGCTTGATATATCTCATCACTTCCAGAGTCACTGACGCCCTCCTGAGCTTCTGCGATGAATATCAAAACCTGCGGTCGTCGCTGTGCGTCGTTTAAGATTGCGCTTAGATCATCCTTAAATGATTTTTTTTCGGCATTGATAATCGTTGCGTCAGTATTTGACAAACTTTCTGCCAGTTCGTCTGCCTTGTCTTTCACCAATGTCACAATGACCGTTGTAACCTTTTCAGCTTCCTTTCCATTGGATACTGATGCCTTTTTCCTCTGCCATTGTATTCGGTATGCCATTTTTTTCTTGCTCTCCTGTTGTGGGCCAATTATAACCACCAGGAAATCTTTGATTTCGACGATAACACTACCATCTTTTGATAACAGTAAGGCATTGTATGTCATACTTTCCTCCGTTCTTTCGACCATTTGAACATATGCATACATGTGTCGTTCCAGGGGCCTGTTGATCCTGAGACGTCCTATTCCTCCAGGTAGAACTGTCATTGTATTGTCTGCTTCTATGTCGAGAACGCCTGATGTTTGAAGAAGACCATCCAAAACTGCTGGATGGACATTGGTATTTTGCAGATCTCGAACTATGCCCTCTGTCAGGTTGATGTCAACCAAACATTCTGTTTCGTTCCTAACTGCATCACCAATGATCTTTAAATCATCTCCATATGAGAAACCAAGGCTTTCAAGTTTACTATATGTTTCTGCTGCAGTCTGGCTTGACTTGCAACGCTTTCTGATTGATAAGAGATTCAAATGCTTGGGACTATTCTCACTGATATCAGTTGAAATAGTACAATGAGCAATTTTTTCATCATTGTTGAAAACTCCAAATGTTGCTTTAGACTGTGTTTCTTCTGTCACAATCGCCTCCGGAACGCTAGCTTTTCCTTGCACTAGTCTCAAAGGACGCAGAAACCGTGTTGTTACTTGTAAATTTTGCATGGATGTCTCGAAAACCTGTTTTCCTATCTCTAAGGCAACGTCTGAATAGAAGGCTCCGGGAAGCAAAATAGTACCACCAACTACATGCTCATACACAAACGGTGTTTTGGATGGGTTTATGTCAATCCTGAACTGAATTCCGTCTCCCGGCATCCGTTCTACGCACAAGTGATTTGTATTTGTGTTGCCAATACCCTGAACCATCAACCGTCGTGTGTCAGGTTCAAAAAGTGATTTCACCTCATTGAAAGCATAAGTAGGAATGTCGGTTAGTCCACCATGTGTGACGAGATTGTCCCAGTTAGGATTGCAACCTACTTTGTACAGCTCCATCAAAGATGTAGATATAGTAGAATGCTCCTTTTCTGTCGTCATTGAACCAAATGCACCGGCCTCTTTTGGTTCGATTATGTCAGGTAAATGGGCACGAAGAACAGGCCTAGGACCAATCTCAACATATATGTTAAAGGGACCTTCTTTCTTTGCTGCTTCAATTCCATTTTGTAACAAAACAGGCATTCTGACGTTCTTTTTCCAATATTCTGCGGTTGTAAAGTCTTTATCCTTTGCCAATTCACCAGTGACTGTCGAGATAAGGGAGCATGTTGGCTGTTGCCCTGACAAGCCATCTAAATGGGTCTCTAGTTCGATACTTGCCTGTTCTGTGTGGTGGCTGTGGTAAGCACATTTTACGTCAAGCTGTTTGATGAAAGGTTTGTCCTTCAATTCTTCATCTTCTGTGAGCAGACTTTTTACCTCATCTATGACATCACTATCACCAGAAAGCGTACAACTAACCGGACTATTCTGTACAGCTATGTTGATTTGTCCAGGAAATTTGTCACAAACCGCTTGCACATGCTCCACTGGACATTTTCCAACTACCATCATTTTACCACCAGTAGCATTGGCGAGTATCCTTGATCGATGGTAGATAACCTCGACTGCATCCGAAAGAGAGAGCGCCCCACCTATACAAGCTGCTGCCACCTCTCCTACTGATTGGCCAAGTACTGCGTCAGGTGAAATACCATAGAAATCCCAAAGCTTTGCATGTGCTATCTGACAAGTAAATATTGCCAAATGGCTTGTGAGGGGGTCTTGTACGTCTATCCCATCACGGAATCGGTCTGCGATGGACCAGCCACAAAGAGGGCGCAGGAGACTGTCTACCTTCTCAACTTCAGAACGAAAAACGGGTTCTTTTTCCATCATTTCTTTACACATCCCATTCCAAGAAGTTCCAACGCCACAGCACAAGAAGACTATGTTTGGTTTGCTGAATCCAGGGGCTTTGACGGACTTAATCGAGTTCGCCTGTTTTTCGCATTTTTCAGCAAGTTCCATACAGTCTTTTGCTGAGAACGCCACGCGATAACCGAAGTGATCTCTCCTCATGATGGACGTATAGGACACGTCACAGATATTGTACATTCCAGTCTTCAGCTTAGCGGCAAATCTCTCTAGTCCTAGTTTGATGGAAGAAATATCAACTGCTGACAGCGTCACAAAGTGGTCAATAGACTTTTCATCTTCACAAGAATTGTGGTGCTTTTTTTCTGTGTTCGGGAGCTGTTTGATGATTGCATGACTATTGGTACCACCGAATCCAAAGGAGTTTACACACGACATCCTGGTTCCATCAGGAAGAGGGTTCCAATCCGTAATGCCGGTGGCAACTTCAAAGTTGAAGTTGCCAAAATTTATCTTAGGGTTTGAATTTCGAAAGTGAAGGGAGGGAACTACTTTGCCGTGCTGCATCATTAGCATAACTTTTATGAGACCAGCAATGCCAGCTGCCGATTCAAGGTGACCGATGTTTGTCTTAACCGATCCTATCCTTACGTCGGCTTCGCCTTCGGGGATGCTTTTTCCTTTAGAAAAGAAGGCTCCCAAGCTGTTGGCTTCGATAGGATCCCCGACTGGTGTACCAGTACCTTTGCAAGAGAAATTCATTAAATTTCAGAGATGAATATTACACATTATTGTCTCCTCATTTACATTATCTTTCTAGAAAATTCAGAAACGCGTATTGTCATAAAAATGTAGCATTGTTTGTGATAAAAAAAATATGTAATGAATTGTATTGAATTTGCTTTGTAATTTATTTATTTCAATACAGTTTTAAAATTATAAAAAAACACGAATTATATTGATCAAATAAGAATATGAAGACGTGCTTACCATGTGCTTCAACATACTGAATAACCCTAGGGTCGACTTTGTAGTCATGGTATACGCGCTCAAGAAGAGCTGATTGCTGTCTACCAGATGGCGCTGTAATCGGAGTGGCGGTGCGACCGTCCTGGTTACATCCTGTAACCATCACGCTCCAGATCTTGTTCCCGTCTAGTTTTGCCTAAATCCCAATAACGCAACAACAATTAAAACTTGTAATAATCTGGACGGACTGTTTATGGTTTATTGGGAGGCACGGTAGTCTAGTGGTAGGACGCCGGGCTCGTGACCGAAGGGTTGCGGGTTCGAGTCATGGCATGGCACTGTGTTGTAACTTTGAGCAAGCTACTATACTCTGCTTGATCTAGTCAACTCAGCTGTAAATGAGTACTTGGTTGGGCTTTGCTAGAACTGTTAAATGCTAGCTGTGAGCACCGAAATGACAGCACCGGCTGTATGCTCCACAGTGAACCGCTTTGGGACGACCTACGAACTAGGTTATGCTAAAGCGGTTTATAAGAACCTTAAATTATTAGTATCTCAAATTATTTCAGTCAAAACTAGCAAACTCACAATATAAGTTATCTAATATGTTAACTGACTGGAACTTATATCAACATGGTTGTGACGATAATGTCAAGTGAGGAGGGCTATTTGATGCATCAAGTCAAGTCTCGACATAATGACATTCATACAATCTCCTTGAATCTCACAAAAATGAAATACCAATGACTAACCAAAATTAAGAGGCCCACCGGGCCTGCATCGCTCACCTGATATAAATCTCACAAATGTTACCTTAAAAGTGGACTAAAGCTACAGGCAAAATATCGGTGTCTAGACTCGAATTCATTCAAAAGAACATGGACATACTGTTAAACAAGCTATATAGCCCTTTATCCGAGAATGCAAGTTGCCAAATATCACCACCCTGTACCTTTTGTTTATTAAGAAAATTACTTTTAAAGATTGATACACAATTTACCAGATGGAACCTTGAAAGTGTCATTGTCATTCAGATGCACAGACTTAAGGCAATTCATTTTTACATTTCAATTATTCAAAAGAAGTCATTTTAAGGTTTTAATATATTTTACACCTGTGACCTATAAAATTCAAGGCCATTCTTTAGAACATTTTTTTTTTACTTTTCACCCAGCATGCTAGGCCTACTGGCAAAATATCATCATCCTAACCATTTTTATTTAGGAGATGTCGTTTAATTTTTTTTACTTATATGACCTATGTGACCTTGGGTAAAGGTCATTCATTTGAACAAACTTGTAGCACTTTATGTGCGCATACTTCTGGCCAAATATCATCAAACCCTGGACATTTTGGTTATTCAGAAAAAGTCATTTAAATGTTTCAACATATTTTATTCCAGTGACCATGAACATGAGTGAAGGTAATTCATTTCAACAAACTTGCTAGCCCTATATCACAGCATACTACTGACCAAATACCCTCACCTGGTCCTTTTTGGTTATTCAGAAGAAGTTGTTTAAAAGGTTTTAACATATTTGACCCCTGTGACATTGAATATGAGCGAAGGTCATTCATTTCCACAAATTTGGATAGCCCTTCATCCAAGTGTGCTTCTGGCCAAATATCACCACCCTATATTTTTTGGTTATTTAGAAGAAGCCGTTTAAAGTAAAATCCTGACATTGGAAGACGGACGGACTCTGGACGACGGACGGACACCGGACGCCGCGCCACGGCAAAGGGCCAGGTGAGCTTATGACGTTATAAATTTAAATCATGGAAGTAGTACATATCACATATGTCTACAAAACAGTGTTACATTACAGAAATTTCCTGTCGGTATAATAGGGTCAATATCCTACCTTTTATTTTTTCTAAACATAACATGAACGCTAAGGGTAAGAACTATGACTTCGTTCCAGATAAAATCCTAGTTGATGATTTTGTTTTAGCCACAGAACAAGCATGTAGGGAACTAAGCTATGCTGAGGCTGATCAACTGAGATCCCTAGTGAAGGGGGTTTTGAAATCAACAAAATTACCAAAAAGTAATGTGACGAAAGAAGAACGGGTCGCACTCCATACATTAGGTAGAGATATATCAATAACGATATTACCAGCTGACAAGGGAGGCAACAGTTGTCATGGACACTGACGATTACGAGGCCAAGGTCATAACAATGCTACATGACAACAAGACATATGAACTTCTGCAGACCAATCCAACCCAAAAGCCATCATGCCAAAATTATAACAAGATAGCAGGATTACAGAAGGCTCATACAGATATCTGTATCCCACAGCAGAGAACATTCCTAGAATGTACTGAACACCCAAGATCCACAAGCAGGGAAACCCACTGAGGCCTATTGTGGACTCCACTGGATCCAATGGTTACAATGTTTCCTGGTCATTAGCAGACATCATGGACCGCTAGTGGATAAATAGGAACACCATGAAAATAACTCGAAACATCTAGCTGACGCTATGTCTACCATCATTTTTCAGGAAGAATTCATTTACCAACACACCCATTGACGATGCACTTAGAATCATTCGGAAACGCTTAGAATTAGACAGATCCTGAAGTAAAAACACAAATCTCCAGATTCATGACATCATGAATTTGCTGGAATTTGTGTTGACACACAAATTCGTGTTGTGTTTCCGAAACACAATTTGTGTTGTGTTTCCGAAACAACATCTTTCAACAACAATCTGCTATAGGTAGTCGAGTGTCTTGAATTGTGGCTTATTTGTTCAGGGAACATCTGGAGCAAGAGGCAATATTTATATTTCTACTGAACTTGGACTCAATATACCTACATAACATTTTAAAGGTTATTTTTCAATGAACTTTTCAGTTGGCGTATGAATACATCAGCATATTATCAACCTGATTACTCTGTTATTCCGAGGAGCGCGGGAAGTAGTTCCATTCATAGATTGTTTTCAAATTGTTTTTGTTTTGTCAGAAGTATTCAATTGAATTCAAACAATAATTTACATCTTAATTTGCTTATTCATCTTACCAGTATACCTTTCATTGTGTAAGACTTGCACAAGACCGATATTTTAGAAATTATCCGAACAAATATCAATATCGCTCTGAATGTAAATATAAGGATTTAATCCCATTGTGTTGAGGTTTATGCGGTATAAACCTCAATGGGTCTTGAGACAAATTCAAAATAAACTGCTTCGCAGTTCATAAAATTTGTCTCAAGACCAATTGAGGTTTAAACCCCATACACCCCAACAAAACATAATTCAATCCTTAAATAGCCACTGCCTCAATAGAATGCAAGCCTAGCTTATGGAAACGATATGTTGACGACATACTTGAGATAATCAAGAAGGGGTCACGGAAGTAATTGCCCACACTTTTCAACACCATAGATGCCACTAACAACATCAACTGTACATGTGAGGACGAAACCAACGGCACAATGTCCTCCTAGACACTCTACTGGGAAAGGAAACACATAAAGAAAATGTCGCAGAATGCGTATACAAAATCGGATGCAAAAACTGCGACGCATCATATATTGAAGAGACTGGAAGGAGATTTGGGGTCCGCTTTGGTGAACACCGGAAAGATACGGAAACCTAAGAAGGTAGGAAATTCACCAGATCAGAAAGGAAGCAGTCGGAGTCCCAGATAAATAAATCGGCAATCACAGATCATGCCACACACAAAAAGCATGTGATTGACTGGGATAACTCCAAAGTATTAGACAGAAAGAGCAATCTGTTAAAGCGGCAGATAAAGGAAGCCATCTGGACACGCCGCAGTGGGCCAGTTCTAAATCGAGATTAGGGCTCATAGACTCTCGAACATCTATGACCAAGTATTAAACAACTATTGTACATACATCGTAGCCGAATCGACATCGATTTTATAGACAACTCGTACACATTTTAAACCTTTGTGTGCATATGCTTCACTGGGTATTTATCTGAAGATGGTGACAGTGTGCACACCGTACTAGTCATCGAAACGTCACAAAAACTCTTATTGGTTGTGTAAAAAGAACTTTTCATAATATCCTACCTGTTTAAGGCTCTTTATGATGACCATACCACATCCCTCTCCCCTGGCATATCCGTCGGCAGTGTCTGAGAATGCCTGACACTGACCGGTTGCGGAAACCATCCGGGCTTTGCTCAACGGAATAAATATATGCGGATACAAAATACTGTTGACACCGCCACATATTGCAGCCTTGCAATCACCTGAAATAATAAATGATAAATTTCTTGTAAAAAAGGTATTCACGTGAGGTTTGCCAATGATTAAATAACACACTGTGTTTTGTATTGTTTATTTCTTGGTTGGATGTATATTCCAAAGGCTTCGTAATGAAAAATTCAGGTGATTTTTTTTCTGGGACATTTTGTAATTTTATCATTTGTTCTAATATTAAACTGGAGATCAGGTTAACAAAGAAAAAATTCTCTCCATGGATGGACAATGCATTTAATAAAATAAGTAGTAAAATAAAATGATATCGAATTTTCTATAAAGTGAAATTGATTGAGATTGTAATAAAACACACAAGGGATCTAGAGAAAACCTCTGTATGTCATCACACGTCACCGTATATGGCTTGTAGAGGTTGCTATATTTAAATATCGTTTGATTTGTGTTCTGAATCGTAACAGTCTTTTTGTAAAATTCGCACCTTGCGTTAATCCGTTTTATACCTATAACTTGTTATCTATATTCGAAAACTTGTATTTTACATTCAAACATTATTGTTTTGGTTTTATTCGAACACCCGTTTTTGAGTCCGGAACTTGTCTTTGTATTCGAAATATACTTTTTAATACTTATTCGAAATCAATTTATCATTATAAAACTTGTTATGTTTAATTGAAATCTCCAACAAAGTCACTGGGTTTATATCCAATTTCGAATATAAAGCACATTCGATATAGAATAGAAGCACAAATTTTACAGTATAAAATATAAATGTTATAACATAAATAAAAATATGTTCTAATATTGATATGTTTGGCACGCCATACCCTCAGATTACCGTTTCTCTCAAACCATGACATTTATACTAATTTCCACGTTGAAGGAATGAATCGTAGATTGTTTCCGGTTTATGGGGTACAATTTCAAGTGAAAGCCAATCCGAGGGACGGGACTATGTTTATTACTTAAATGAATCACGTGAACAAAGCTTTAAACCCCTTGAGCAGGACTAACAATTTGTCTGAATAAGGACAAGTTGTCATCGCCGAACGGGACGAAGTAAAATTGAAATGCCGACATGAGTTGGCGTCATAGTAATACAATTTAATTTCAAAGATTTAAAGAAGATACATGTATATTTGAACCTGCATTTTAGCTTTGCTTTACTTTGATGGAGTCGTCTATAAAATCTCAAAAATGCTTTTACATATACAACAACGTTCTATTTTATTTATTGTCGTGTGTTTTAACGGTTTATTCTTGTGGACTTAAATATCTATGAATTATTGTTCACTTGAACAAACAACATTATCTATGTAAGTGAATTATAACAGTTGTGGATAGTTTGTTTATCTATATCAGTGAACATAAACAATTATGTTTAATTTGTTTATATATCTGAGTGCACATTAACAAATATATCCCAATTTGAACTGTTGGGTTTTCACGACTTTTAAAGTAAATTAAGTTCTTCAACAACTTGTCCCATATAGTAAATGTTAGCAAGAACACGTTAACGACCGTCACCGTAAACTAACGCATGACTAACGTAAACCATCAAAACAGCATATAGAGCCTTTTTCGCCGGATCTAATAGTAATCGTAGTCATGTCAACCGTTACCAGTGCTTAACATGTTCTTAGAGCATGTAATTATCGTTGTCGCAATAAAAAAAAAACAGGGCATAGTTTCTGGTTGGACATTACAGTCATCACAACATACATAATGTACAATGTACTAGGAGATTAGTTCCTTCTGTGAAAGAAGAAGATACTATGATATTCTTACCTGATTTGATAGCTTGGATAGCAAGATGGATGGCGACGAGAGAGGAGGAGCAAGCTGTGTCTACACACATGGAGGGGCCCAGCAGGTTGTAAATATAGGACACACGTGCAGCTATGATACTGAGGCTGGAACCAGTCAGCGTGTAATTCGTCATGGCTGTCAACTCGTCGTTGGCCGACTCTCGGTAGTCGTCGTTCATGGCGCCTGAAATTTGTATCATTAATTCGTTGTCTGTATGACAGTCTTGATGGTTACCAAAGTATACAATGGTATCGATACACAAATACCAAAATCTGATTTGTACCTATACATATACTGCGATGTCTATATACATTATGGTATAAACCAATATATACATGTACATCGGTGTCAATATACCTTCTGGTATAAATACATATATATATATATATGTGTGTCTATATATTCCAATCTAATTTATACCTATATATACTCCGGTGTCCGTCTCATTGAGATCTTCTCTCGTAATGCCTCCATCCTCCATGGCCATATGGACACAGTCCAGTACAAATCTTTGCTGGGGGTCGATTCTAGCCGTCTCCACCTGACTGACTCCAAATAGCTTATTGTCCCACATATCATACCTGATGAACATTGATATCAACCATTTAAAATTTTGACAAGCTGTAAAACAGAAAATCATGATTATTCATGAACACAACATTAACAAGCCACTTAAACATGCATTTTGGATTTTCCTTAAACAGTTATTAAAGCGGTAGTGTTTACTGTTAGGAGGGAGTACTGGATAACATTATGCCGTCGGGCATGCCCTTCACAAGAATATAAAAACAGCGATCGGTGTGCTTTTGTTTTTTCCCCCTGTAGGACCAAGCACATGACTATCTTTATTAAACGGGGTATATTTTTTTTCTCCTACACATCAAAGCTATTATCTGAGTAGTGACAATGAAATAACAAGGCATAATAAGCATTATTGAGAATGAACACACAAGGAAATATAATAGTTCCCAATGAGATCAGGGTGGCTACCAGAAAACCTGCCAACGGCCTTTGTTATCCTGCATCTCTCGATAACCTTTGATGTAAGTTTGTTGGCATGCCCTTCAATTCTATCACCTCAATCGTGATATTCAGAATTAGGTCTTGAATACCAAAGTTGGGAAAGTAGAGCTGGTTTTATCAATAAAGGGAATGTTCAAGCTTATCGAACAGATAAGTAGTAAGCCATTCCTACTGATACTGTTGTAAGAAAGAGGAAAGTAGGCAGCTGACTAAAAAAGTCATAGCGTGACGTAACACACGCGCAGGTGATTACACCTTTTAAATTTGGAACCATAGAAATTATACACAAAAAAAGAGAATTACACTGCTGTTTTAACTGTTTGTCCGTCTAGAACTCATGAGGTTGCAAAAATCATTTAAATCTTACTATTGGTAAAACAGAAGGGGAAGCGTGTTAACCTATTAATCCTGTTAATTAAAAAAATAAGGAGTAGTTGTTAATTTTTAAATTAAAGATTGAGAGAAGTGCATGAAATGTATGTACAACTACTCAAATGCGTCTTCGATTTCCAGTTCCGGAGGAGATATATACCATCAACGCAGTCCATATATTTGTTTGTTACTTAAACCAGCACATCGTCAAAATATCTGAAAGTGGAGTTGAAGAATATGTCAAGGTTTTTTGTTTGTAGCAAATTTATCCTGGATTTATTCCATGTCCCTTAAGAAGACACTGACGGAACTACCCCTCAACCTTCAGGGGGCCTCACATACGTTTTATTTTACGACATGCAATGGAATAAAGAAGGAACATTCTCTTCTCGAACCTGCGAGGAGAGAAATCCCGTACCATAACGTTAAACCTATCCTAGGTATTTATACGTAAACCATCTTTCTGAAGAAAACAACAAGTTTGTGACTGTAACGTACTTGCGGATGAATCCTGCCCGCCTGACATTGGTCTTGCCTGGTTCCATGGGGTCTTCATTGTAAAAAGCGTCCACGTTCCAGCGTTCTGGAGGGATCTGAATCACGTGATTTTCGCCATTAAGTAGAACCCTCCAAAACTCATCCAGGTTCTCAGCTCCAGGAAACTTACACCCCACGCCGACAATGGCGAACGCATTGTCGTCGTCATCCATTAGAACTGCAAAATGCAGTGATAACAATTAACGCTATTTCCAAATCTATTTTCCGCTAGATAGTATTAAACTAAATAAAACAATAAAACTGTTTAAACGATAAAAAATAGGAAGGACATGTTATATATATATATACACTGTGTATGACATTGTATAAAAAATCTATTGATTTAAGTATGGATATATATGAAGTACAGTGTATTGTATTAACATATATAACATATACATTTGTACTTTATTCGTACTTTTATATTAAGATAATTTTTTTTATATAAATGTCGCATCAGTTTGATTTGTAAAATTGTTAAAATTTGCAGTTGTCAGTTCAATATGCAAGCTTAGTGATATAGAATATATTCTTTATCCGGTGTTGTTAATGAAGTATGTACTAGTTAAGCATGTCGAATTCGGGCTGTTTTGAATAGGTGATCTATAGTTCTACCACTGTTCTATTCAGTTTCTGAGAAAGAGAACCATAATTTACAAATGAAAGGCTTCTAGGTAGAGCAATGTATTGATTCCAGTCCACAGCCGTCAGCTACACTATATGTGAGAGGGTAACACATCTCTATCCGTATAAGCTACACTATGAGAGGGCAACACATCTCTATCCGTATAAGCTACACCATGAGAGGGTAACACATCTCTATCCGTATAAGCTACACTATGAGAGGGTAACACATCTCTATCCGTATAAGCTACACTATGAGAGGGTAACACATCTCTATCCGTATAAGCTACACTATGAGAGGGTAACACATCTCTATCCGTATAAGCTACACTATGAGAGGGTAACACATCTCTATCCGTATAAGCTACACTATGAGAGGGTAACACATCTCTATCCGTATAAGCTACACTATGAGAGGGTAACACATCTCTATCCGTATAAGCTACACTATGAGAGGGTAACACATCTCTATCCGTATAAGCTACACTATGAGAGGGTAACACATCTCTATCCGTATAAGCTACACTATGAGAGGGTAACACATCTCTATCCGTATAAGCTACACTATGAGAGGGTAACACATCTCTATCCGTATAAGCTACACTATGAGAGGGTAACACATCTCTATCCGTATAAGCTACACTATGAGAGGGTAACACATCTCTATCCGTATAAGCTACACTATGAGAGGGTAACACATCTCTATCCGTATAAGCTACACTATGAGAGGGTAACACATCTCTATCCGTATAAGCTACACTATGAGAGGGTAACACATCTCTATCCGTATAAGCTACACTATGAGAGGGTAACACATCTCTATCCGTATAAGCTACACTATGAGAGGGTAACACATCTCTATCCGTATAAGCTACACTATGAGAGGGTAACACATCTCTATCCGTATAAGCTACACTATGAGAGGGTAACACATCTCTATCCGTATAAGCTACACTATGAGAGGGTAACACATCTCTATCCGTATAAGCTACACTATGAGAGGGTAACACATCTCTATCCGTATAAGCTACACTATGAGAGGGTAACACATCTCTATCCGTATAAGCTACACTATGAGAGGGTAACACATCTCTATCCGTATAAGCTACACTATGAGAGGGTAACACATCTCTATCCGTATAAGCTACACTATGAGAGGGTAACACATCTCTATCCGTATAAGCTACACTATGAGAGGGTAACACATCTCTATCCGTATAAGCTACACTATGAGAGGGTAACACATCTCTATCCGTATAAGCTACACTATGAGAGGGTAACACATCTCTATCCGTATAAGCTACACTATGAGAGGGTAACACATCTCTATCCGTATAAGCTACACTATGAGAGGGTAACACATCTCTATCCGTATAAGCTACACTATGAGAGGGTAACACATCTCTATCCGTATAAGCTACACTATGAGAGGGTAACACATCTCTATCCGTATAAGCTACACTATGAGAGGGTAACACATCTCTATCCGTATAAGCTACACTATGAGAGGGTAACACATCTCTATCCGTATAAGCTACACTATGAGAGGGTAACACATCTCTATCCGTATAAGCTACACTATGAGAGGGTAACACATCTCTATCCGTATAAGCTACACTATGAGAGGGTAACACATCTCTATCCGTATAAGCTACACTATGAGAGGGTAACACATCTCTATCCGTATAAGCTACACTATGAGAGGGTAACACATCTCTATCCGTATAAGCTACACTATGAGAGGGTAACACATCTCTATCCGTATAAGCTACACTATGAGAGGGTAACACATCTCTATCCGTATAAGCTACACTATGAGAGGGTAACACATCTCTATCCGTATAAGCTACACTATGAGAGGGTAACACATCTCTATCCGTATAAGCTACACTATGAGAGGGTAACACATCTCTATCCGTATAAGCTACACTATGAGAGGGTAACACATCTCTATCCGTATAAGCTACACTATGAGAGGGTAACACATCTCTATCCGTATAAGCTACACTATGAGAGGGTAACACATCTCTATCCGTATAAGCTACACTATGAGAGGGTAACACATCTCTATCCGTATAAGCTACACTATGAGAGGGTAACACATCTCTATCCGTATAAGCTACACTATGAGAGGGTAACACATCTCTATCCGTATAAGCTACACTATGAGAGGGTAACACATCTCTATCCGTATAAGCTACACTATGAGAGGGTAACACATCTCTATCCGTATAAGCTACACTATGAGAGGGTAACACATCTCTATCCGTATAAGCTACACTATGAGAGGGTAACACATCTCTATCCGTATAAGCTACACTATGAGAGGGTAACACATCTCTATCCGTATAAGCTACACTATGAGAGGGTAACACATCTCTATCCGTATAAGCTACACTATGAGAGGGTAACACATCTCTATCCGTATAAGCTACACTATGAGAGGGTAACACATCTCTATCCGTATAAGCTACACTATGAGAGGGTAACACATCTCTATCCGTATAAGCTACACTATGAGAGGGTAACACATCTCTATCCGTATAAGCTACACTATGAGAGGGTAACACATCTCTATCCGTATAAGCTACACTATGAGAGGGTAACACATCTCTATCCGTATAAGCTACACTATGAGAGGGTAACACATCTCTATCCGTATAAGCTACACTATGAGAGGGTAACACATCTCTATCCGTATAAGCTACACTATGAGAGGGTAACACATCTCTATCCGTATAAGCTACACTATGAGAGGGTAACACATCTCTATCCGTATAAGCTACACTATGAGAGGGTAACACATCTCTATCCGTATAAGCTACACTATGAGAGGGTAACACATCTCTATCCGTATAAGCTACACTATGAGAGGGTAACACATCTCTATCCGTATAAGCTACACTATGAGAGGGTAACACATCTCTATCCGTATAAGCTACACTATGAGAGGGTAACACATCTCTATCCGTATAAGCTACACTATGAGAGGGTAACACATCTCTATCCGTATAAGCTACACTATGAGAGGGTAACACATCTCTATCCGTATAAGCTACACTATGAGAGGGTAACACATCTCTATCCGTATAAGCTACACTATGAGAGGGTAACACATCTCTATCCGTATAAGCTACACTATGAGAGGGTAACACATCTCTATCCGTATAAGCTACACTATGAGAGGGTAACACATCTCTATCCGTATAAGCTACACTATGAGAGGGTAACACATCTCTATCCGTATAAGCTACACTATGAGAGGGTAACACATCTCTATCCGTATAAGCTACACTATGAGAGGGTAACACATCTCTATCCGTATAAGCTACACTATGAGAGGGTAACACATCTCTATCCGTATAAGCTACACTATGAGAGGGTAACACATCTCTATCCGTATAAGCTACACTATGAGAGGGTAACACATCTCTATCCGTATAAGCTACACTATGAGAGGGTAACACATCTCTATCCGTATAAGCTACACTATGAGAGGGTAACACATCTCTATCCGTATAAGCTACACTATGAGAGGGTAACACATCTCTATCCGTATAAGCTACACTATGAGAGGGTAACACATCTCTATCCGTATAAGCTACACTATGAGAGGGTAACACATCTCTATCCGTATAAGCTACACTATGAGAGGGTAACACATCTCTATCCGTATAAGCTACACTATGAGAGGGTAACACATCTCTATCCGTATAAGCTACACTATGAGAGGGTAACACATCTCTATCCGTATAAGCTACACTATGAGAGGGTAACACATCTCTATCCGTATAAGCTACACTATGAGAGGGTAACACATCTCTATCCGTATAAGCTACACTATGAGAGGGTAACACATCTCTATCCGTATAAGCTACACTATGAGAGGGTAACACATCTCTATCCGTATAAGCTACACTATGAGAGGGTAACACATCTCTATCCGTATAAGCTACACTATGAGAGGGTAACACATCTCTATCCGTATAAGCTACACTATGAGAGGGTAACACATCTCTATCCGTATAAGCTACACTATGAGAGGGTAACACATCTCTATCCGTATAAGCTACACTATGAGAGGGTAACACATCTCTATCCGTATAAGCTACACTATGAGAGGGTAACACATCTCTATCCGTATAAGCTACACTATGAGAGGGTAACACATCTCTATCCGTATAAGCTACACTATGAGAGGGTAACACATCTCTATCCGTATAAGCTACACTATGAGAGGGTAACACATCTCTATCCGTATAAGCTACACTATGAGAGGGTAACACATCTCTATCCGTATAAGCTACACTATGAGAGGGTAACACATCTCTATCCGTATAAGCTACACTATGAGAGGGTAACACATCTCTATCCGTATAAGCTACACTATGAGAGGGTAACACATCTCTATCCGTATAAGCTACACTATGAGAGGGTAACACATCTCTATCCGTATAAGCTACACTATGAGAGGGTAACACATCTCTATCCGTATAAGCTACACTATGAGAGGGTAACACATATCTATCCGTATAAGCTACACTATGAGAGGGTAACACATCTCTAAACGTATAAGCTACACTATGAGAGGGTAACACATCTCTACCCGTATAAGCTACACTATAAGAGGGTAACACATCTCTATCCGTATAAGCTATAATATGAGAGGGTAACAAACCTCTATATCGATTGGTCCCCTTAATATCTGGAATTCGTAAATTGAATTTCGACAATAATACGGCGATATGTGTTATTTCGTCAGGAATCGACTTTATTGCCAAGACTCTGGGTTTGTGTCACAGTCATTCTTCACTGGCTTCCTAACGGAAACCACACAAACACAAACCACCAATGTTAAAGCGGTCAGTAATCTCGTAATGCAGAACCAACTGATCTGTAAGAATCAGTTACGTTACGGGAACTTCCTGTTTAGTATGACGGGATGTAAACACGTCGCATTGAAGGGATGTACCTCTGTGTTCAGAAATCTTGTGATGCATTGTCAAAATGTTAATTTGTCGCGGCGACAATAATGACAATCAATGTCATTCTTCCTAGTTTTTTCCTTTGGCGCATGAAATCAGACGCCCATTTTTAGACTTTTAATCCCATATTGCTCTACTGAATGTAATTTACTTTTAATATAAGACGTCATATTCTCAGATTGTATAATATCACTATTCGAGCTGGCAACATAGTGAAAAGCCAATTAAAGCTACCATGAAATAAAACAAAATCAGCCTCAAAAGGTGACGTTCTACAAATACTTCTGAACAGACAACATAGTTAAGCATGCAATAAAATAAAGCAGAGACCATCAACTTAAAATGTACACATACAATTCTCCAAAAAAGGCAGTCTTTTTCAGAAAAAAGATATTCTCTTAATTACATTTTTTGAGTTAGGCGTCAATAAGCCGCAATGCAACTTCTTACAGAACAGTGCAAAATTACATCCGTGGTTAGAAAGTTGACGCATCATTAGAATACGGTGTCTTTAATTAAACTAAACTTGACAATTGGATAAAAAAGAATTATAAATAGTTTAATATACCTTTATTCGATCATAGTAGGAATGTCCTGTGCCTTTGAAAAGATTGAGCAAGTTGAGTGAAATATCAAAAACTAAGTTCAAATATGTTGAATATTAATTGCATAATGTGTTGAATGTTAATTGCATAATGTGTTAAATATTAATGGAGTAATGTGTTCAATATTGATGGAATAATCTGTTAAATATTAATGGAGTAATGTGTTGAGTTATCGAAAAACCCGTTCTATCAGAACATTGATTAGCCCGAATGTAACCCGTTTTGACATCTTAATGTAAACATTTACGTTTATTACACAGCGATCCAATCGTTTGTGTAGTTCTCATTTTTATACCAACAACGTTTTGCTTTGAACAAAATGTTGACAGACAACTTTTTTATAAACATTTTCAAAACCTTGCTATTTCGTTGAATTTAAAAAGTATTCTGTTCCATCATCGATCATTCCTATTATATAAATATGATTTTAGAGCTGGAAACTTACCGTTGTAGTTGTCTTGGACTCCGAGAGAACTGGCTACATGGATAATGAATATCTTACAGACAATCCCTCACAGGAAGCATGTCGGTGTTTGGTAGAGGAAGGTTGGATCCAATGCTTACATACATGTATCTGATATCAGCTCCGCCCGACAGTTGCGGTACCGCCTCCAATAGTGGTAATGGCAAGATCGCTAGCCCCGCCTTCATTAGTTGTACGCCTCGCTCCGCCTCCAGTAGTACAAACATTAGTACATGTCGTCGCACCTCCAAAGCTAGTATCACTAAGCCCCGCCTCCTTTCACTCAAAGTCCTAATATTATAAAAGGTAATACATGACGTACACAAATGGTTTATATAAGGTCTCAGCTTTCAGTCTAATAAATCAACTTTAGTTCTTGACAGTGATAACGCACGTTATAAAATCATAACATTCTGGTCTTTCATAACTGTTTTTCTTCTTCTTAAATATAATCATATTGATGTACACATGTAAATATTAATAAAACCATACCACTGCTAATATTTAAAAAAAATGTGTTGAGGTTCGAAGGGATATCAAACAGAACAGCATAGGTATTAAGTATCACGTAACAGTAATATAAATAAAAGAATAACGTTGTGTTCAAAAATAATTATAACGTGTCAATCAGAAAATACTGACGTTTTTGTAACAGAATAACTGTTCAGGTGGCAAGTTAGCCTCCCCCGTTCTCTTTCTCTCTCACGTGTACAATACAGCTACGCTTTGAAGATAAAACATCATCTTAAAAGATATTTATGAATGGTTTTACCCTCCAATTGGCACTAGTAATTTCATCTATTATTTCAACACGAACAAACGATGGTGAAATACAAAAACAAATGTGGTATTGTTTGATTAGAAAAAATGTCCAGGCAAAAAAAATGAACTGTTATAATCGCAAAATTATTACCGAAAATACGGGAAAATTCATCGTTGAGGACAGTCTCATTTATTTGAAATGCAGGAAGAATGCAGCAAAAAGTAGGAGCACAAAACACGTGTAAAACATGCTATTCGAAAATTATATGTATCATTTTGCCATTCAAAGGTGCGGAAAACCCCCAGAATCATGATGTGCGATTTGTGAGAAAACAGGTAACGGCATGACGCAGGCAGTAGTAATGAAAATTAAATCCTTTTAAAACTTGTAGGTAATGATTGTACGATCTCGTGTTACAAACAGCATATCATTTGTTTTAAATTCATAGAAATAACGCGAAATAAGCATTGTGTTGAGTCTTTATCGTGAAACGAATATATCAATAGTCATGGCCTTAAATTCGGCTGTTAATACGGTGTCATATATCAGCTCTCTATGTCTGGCACACGGCACCAGGTAAAACTAAGGTCACCCTACATATAACAATCAGAAAAAAGCAGCCATCTTGCTATTTATAGGCTGCCCAACCTTCTACTGTGAACAATGTGTTGCAAACTTTGGAATTTCTCGCATTTAAATGCGCTTTTGACACACAGCGTAATCAGCTACACTATATCAACTTTTGAGCTCATGAACTTATTAATTAATCATCAAATAAAACTTGTCTTCTCAAAATGTGAATACAGGCATGCACTGTTACCAAAATCAATATATTTACATTTGCTCTGCATTGCCACTATATAAATCACTATACCAAAGCCAGTTCCTTGTTATGAAACCATAACACAGGCGTTGCAATATCTCCACGGGTCCGACTAACTACTGGATCGCTATTCCCCTCCGCACTAGCAAGAATATTAGAAAAAAAACCACTATGGTTCAGTAATATTCACCGTTTTATGTAAGACTTAGAATTTAAAAGTACGTTGTTAACTAAGAAATGAAAGTTAAAAGATTAAACATGTAAATATAAGCATAAAACAGCATTCTGTTCCGTGTTATGGTCCTTTAACACGGAACAGAATGCTGTTTAATGCTTAAGTATAACCTAATATTTTATCAAGTTATTGCAATCTGTCCATAACAAAATATAATATGGTAAAAGTCCTATCGCCGCGATCTGTAGCTGAGACAGAAAAGGGATTAATTGTTTTACATTGTATATCCTTAGATTGGAAGTTTTTATTTCAGTTCGCATTTAATAAATAAAATTAAAACCAGGAGTTATGCTCACGTTCGTTCTCTGCACCTAGACTATGTCATAGCAAGATTGAAGGCACTAAGATAGCTGTTTGATCGGTCTCCAATCGCTAGGCTGACACCTGTCCTTGAAGATTACAAACGAGCGACATCCTACTTCAAAGCCTGTCAATTTTTACCGTAACGTGACCGCGAGATTCTTTTGATGTACCTCAGAGGATCGAACTAGTCTTCCTGTCCCATCCACAAGGTGCCGCACATTAAGCCTTCGATTTTGCTATGACATATTCCAGGGGTGAAGAGAGCGAAAGTGAGCGTTACCCCTGGATATCGAGGATGACTGAGCCTTCAATTTTGCTATGACATATTCCATGGGTGCAGAGAGCGAAAGTGAGCGTAACCCTTTGAGTATCGAGGATAGGGTGTAGAGAGCGAAAGTGAGCGTAACCCCTGGATATCGGGGATGCTGTAAAATATCTAAGTGTAAACATGCCATAGATACGCTGAACGTCAGCTCAGCTACTTGTGTGTTATGATTCATTGCATAGAAATAATCTTACATATGGTTTTTAGACTCAATTTCATATATAAAAATATCTAATACTTTCAATTATGCCTGCGTCGTGTACGTAAGCTTCGAAACATGTATATTAGGATACATTGATTACACTTTGTACTTTTCGTCGTATTTATGGGTTTTTAATTCAAATATTAAATTAACAATTTTATTACTTTTAATTTGGCCTGGACAAGGTAGATGTTCATGTATTAAAAATACAATGACAATTGAAGTTACATAGATGTTTTACACAACATGACGGACACACGATAGTATTAATAATTGTCTGACATACATGGCAAATAACTTCAACAGTATTTCAATATATAACCTTATATGTCAAAAATCAATTTACGAATTTAATTAAAGCTTATTACAATAATGCTTTTTCTTTCGTGTTTTCCTGTAATATTCATAATATCATGAACAATCATATTTTTATCGTTGACAAACGTCCTTGACACGACATTGAGCTTGGTCTAGATCGCGTCACATAAGCACGGTCGCTTGCATGTCAATATTGCACGTGGACATTGTGATTTATGACAATGCACATAGACGCGGTTATACAATATAACAAATAACAATGACACAGATAGGAGGTAGGACAGTGTATCTATACAACAGAAATTCTAGAAAAAGGACAATTAATTGTAAACCCACGGTTAACGCTGCGAGTGATGAAGGCCACTTAGGTACATGTAGTTAGGTAATACTCTTGTAGAACGAGCGCCATTTTACGTGTTCAAAAAGGAAAAATGATAGCTATGATTTCGGAAAATACGTTCTCGTTTTAGACGTAACGGCACGCTACAGCAATTGGTACAATTTCGGCAATTTTTCAGTAATATTATCAAGATCTTATATCTAGGATGTTTCTTGATTTTTGACAAAGACTACCGATAGAGGTCCATTTTCAGGAAAAGTTGTGATTCTAAGTAAATTAAAAAAAGAAAGAACGCGTGACTCGGATGAAGATTTCATCTGTTTTCGGCCATGATTAGTACCAGAATTGGTATACCTTATCATAGGCTATGGAACCTAATTTTATTTTTTACTAGTTGATGTGCCGATTACAACGAAATGTATTGCCTTTATAAATACTGAGCTACAATTTTATACTATCCGGAAATAAGGACTACAAATCAACATTTAAACATGCTTATAATTTATCCCTTCAAAACCATCCAAAATATCGTCAACGTATGTCGTCTTTTCTTATTTTCTGATATGTTTAATTTGAAGTCATCGTGTACACTGAAAGTGTCGTTAAAACAAAACTGTTTTGTGGAAATTGTGATGAATAACTTTATTGTTATACCATCAGAGGAAAATGCACAAATATAAAGTTCAAAGTACAATTCAAACCATTTTCTGATCGTGTACCAAATTGGTTGGTGTACCAATTGTGGTATTTTAATTGAAATTTATTTAATACTTAACTAAAGTAATATCCGTGTGAAATGGTTTTTATTGTCCATTACTATTACTATCGCTCTCTACAGCGAATGTGGATATCGAGGATGTGGAAACCGGTGCTTCGGACAGGTCAACAAAATGTAGCCCCTCTGAGGACGGTTATAAACATACAGTTTTGATGCATGAAACATTACGCTTATAAAATGTTAATAATATACACAAATATCTATTTCCACAATTTCGTACAATTGTTTCATAAATCTCATGTGAAATTGCAAATCTTGTAAAGTCCTATTTCATTATCTTGTATAATTTTCTCTAAAGACTTAATATTCTTATTGGAATCAAATTCCATTTAAATCGTCTCCTTTCCGAAAGAATACAAAAAATACGTGGTTTTGAACTTCAAAATTACCAAGAATTTGTAATAAAGTAGACATTTAGATGTATTATTATACTAATTCGGCCTTTGACTACAGTAACAGTTACGTCGTTGACCCTGTAAGAGAGCTATTTTAGAACCTACTCTATCGATATTACAATAAACAAAAAGAACAAATAATCAGATGACATACAACAATAAACGTTTTGCATATCTATAACCATTTTTATGGCTTCCGTCACTCTCGTCCGAATTATTCTGACGATTTATCGGACTAACGTCACCCTTGATAGAGTGAAAATCAGTTGCATGCCTAAACGTGTCATGATTGAATATTTCGTAACCGACATGTTTATCGTCCTTCCACTTGACAATCGTCTACTTAATGTCTGGTTAAGATGCAGCTGTCAATCCCTCCATCCCATTTTACAGGTACACTGTAGATGAAAGCGACACGTTTAATGTATTGCAGTATAAGAAGAATGTGCTACTGTTGTACAGTTTGATTTACTAAGGTCGGACCAAAGGTACCTATCGCGCAACTGACCACTCTCAACGTTGCTGAACTAATAAACCTTGTTTTTTAGTATAAGTACTGAACAAAATTAAGATTTAG